TGCGGGTCTTGGGCGGCGCAGCCGCGCCCTCTCGCAACGTCTCCCTGGTGAGGGGCTCCCGACAAGGGGGCAGATGGAGGCCGTTCTCCTGTGATGCGTTGCCTTCACAACGCCCGCATGTTCAATTTCATGCCTTAGTTCCTGGGCGGATTTCTACACTGCGCATCGATTCCGCTGATGGCCATTACTCTATGCTGGTCATGAATGTTCACAACAATTATATCGCTCCCATATTCAAACTGCTTGTTGCCAGCGCTTGGAAGGATGCTGTTGGATGGAATCATGGCGACCCCCAATCGCCGCGCGTTAATTGCCATGGGTGGCTTCAACATTCGCGATGGAGATCCTCTCAGTTAGGGCGAGCCAACTCCATTGTGAACGCCATTACCGACGGCGCGGACATTGCAGCCGAATGAGATTTGCTGGTGCGCTCTCTTTGATCTAGCGCAGGAGGTGCAGGCCGACGTCCCTATTCACTTCAGTCGCCAACAATGCGCCGCCTCCGCCATCGACAGGGCCTTTCTTGCCATGCCTGAACATCCTCCTCGACACGGATGTCCTCCTGAATGTGGACTCTGACCCGCTCGAGATGTCCCAGGGGGGGCTCAGCGACCATTCCGCGCTGTTGCTCTACCTCAATCTCAAGGCTCCAGGAGACGCCGCGGACCATCGCATCCCAGATGTGGCGTTCAGCGGCGTAAGGTATAAGGTTATACTGGACAAGCTAATGGGCGCGGCGGACCTGGATCGTTTCCCCTTGTTGCCAGGCGGCAGCATCTGAATTATATGACGATCAAGGCGGCTAAACAAACGCGAGATGAATAGCAACGGCTTCCCTTCGAGCAGGCGACAAGCGTGCCAGAGGGGGGCGCAACATCGCACTGCGTAGCATCTCACGTGCCGTCTGGAGACAAGATACGAAGATCGCGGCGCTCATCATCGCTAGCTCAGACGAGGGTGCCAAGTATCCTAAATTTCAATGTGGGCAAGCTCAGCTTGGGGGGCCAGACGCCTTCTGCTGAGCTCCAGGCCAACCGCGAACTTGCAGTGCAAGCAGCTCAACGTGCCCTTCGAGGGGAGCAACAGCAGGTGGCAGCACGCCGCTTCAAATCTATCAAGGCTATTCGCCGCCGTGCCATGCTATGGAGACCCCGAGGCCGTCGTCCCGTTCTAGCAGGGATCCGATCTGAACATGCCCTCGAGTCCTCCCAATTGGCAGTCACCAGAGATCCCAACAATGTCTTGGAGGCCCTTCGGCGTCGCTGACTGGTCTGCGGTCCTTCGGGCGCAACCGGCCAGTCGGCTGGGGATCAGACAGCGCCTGGGGCGACGCTACCCGGCCTACGAGATAGCCGACTTAGTCATGCCCAGCGTCACGGGCCTTAAGAACACGCTCAAACATGTACGTCGCAGAGCTCCTGGTCCCGATAGGCCCCCCTGCAAGGCTTGGGTGGTCTCTGAGGGCCAGATCGTAGTCCTGCATGGCGTCTCGCAGCACCTCGTGGCGGGCCACCGCGCACCAGAGGCCCTGAATGACTCCATCTTCGCGTTCTTGCCCGAAGGAAGTGAGCCCAGCGATGCCTATGAGTGCCTGCGTAGCCCAGATCAGATTCGCCCTCTCTCGCTGCGCAACGCGGATTCTAAGGTCCTAGCTTCTGCGGCCGTCAGAAGCTCAAAGGACTGGTCCCCGCGCGCGCACAAAATCCAGCGAGGATTTGTGCTTGGCCGGAATTTTCTTCACAATTTGCTCCAGCTAGATGCAGCCGCCCGCTCGGTTAGGCTAGCATCGGCGAGACAGCCGAAGCACAGGCGCTTGTCTTTGTTGCGTTCGATGTAGCCGCTGCGTTTCCATCCCTTGGCCACGATTGGCTGCGGGACGTGCTCTCTCGATTTGGCGTGCCGCGTGGGTACTTGAATTCGCTCGCCTCGCTGTGCTTTGAGCCCCGCAGCTATGCCGTGCTTCAGGGCGGAATGCAGTTGTGTTTCTATTTGCGTTCGGGCGTAACGCAAGGCTGCCCGCTTTCAGGTTCGGCATGGGCCATGGCTATGGGCCCGATTAAAACCCATCTGGTGGCGGTGGCGTCGTCGTCGTCTCCACGGGGGGTGGTTGGAGGATGTGCTGATGATGCGGGGCTTGTGCAGCCCTGCCCGTCAGATTTTAAACGTTCTTTTCCTGTCTTCAAAAGCGCCGGGGAGCTAGCAGCATTGAGGCCCCAGCCCACCAAGAAAGTAGTTGTTCCTCTTTGGGCGGAGGTCGCGCCAGAGGTTGACCATCGCATTCGCTCATTTTTAGAGTCAGACATTCCCGAATGGAGCGGTTTCCCACTGGCCAGGCGAAGTACCTGGGAGTGCAACTTCGGCCCGCGGCCGCCGAGAGCGGAGTTTGGGCAGAGGCCATTCGCATGTGGTGGAGTCGGCTTTGCGACATTCCACGATCGACCGCGCCCTCGAGTGACAGCTTGCTTCAGTGCAACAGCGCTGCCCTCTCTACACTCAGTTATCTTGCGCAGCTTTATCCACTGTCAACCGTTCTCTGGCACGGAAAACATTTTGCTCTGCACAAAGTCCTCCGTTTGCCGCCCAGCGCGTTTCGATTGGCTGATTTGTTTTCTTCCAAAGCACGCGGCTTAGTGGCTCCCGCTTCCACGCTAGCCATGACTGCGGCGAGCTTGTGGAGATGCGCCTTTCGCGCTTTGCGAGGCTGGGAATCGCTGCTGCGCGAATTGTCTGAAGCGGCGATCCTTCAAGTTCCACTGGTGCGCAGGACGTGCGGGCAATGGAGTGTGCCATGCTGGGAAATAGAACACGGTTTCTTGCAGCGATTTGCTAGGCTCGCCGGGGGGCCACCCTTTTTCATCAATCCCTGTCGCTGCATGGCGATCGGCGCTGAACGCGGCCCGTGACGAACAAGCCAGCGCAGCGGGTGAAGGCCGCAAGGGGAAGGTCCAACGTGCCCTTTCATCCTCGCTGCGAGTCTCTCTTTTTTTCCGTTAGGTTTCGAGCCTACTATCGCTGCGCGTTTGTTTGCGTGGAGCTTTTCTGTCCGATTAGTGGGGCGGTGGGTGAGCGGTGTGGGGGGTGGGGGACGTCTTGCGGTGCTCCGCGCGTTCAAGCCTCCGTGGCAGTGGGGCCTACTCAAGACCCTCGCAGGAGGGCGGACAACATCGCACCGCATACATGTCAGTGGAGCTGGATCCTGTAATTTTGGTTGCAGCCAGCAGCCTGACTCTATCGCGCACTATATCACCTGCCCTGTCTTTGGTGAACTCTTCGCCATACCCCTCACCTATTTTAGCACTCGGCCTTGGCGCCGACAGCGAATGCAACTGTGCAGCGTGCGCACTCTCCCGCAGTGCCGCCATGCGCCTTGGTGTGCTCTCCTTCCACACCTACCATAAGCTCAAGGCGACGCTGGTTCACGGAACCGCAGCGAACCCTTCAGAGCAACCTGCCGCTGTAGCAGCTGCTGTGCACGCCACTGACAATTAGGCGTGCGGCATGACTGTTGCCCCCCAGGTACGGTCGATCATCAACATCATGGCCGTCATCATAACCACCATCGGCATCACCACCGTCATCGTCGTCATCACCGTCGTCGTCATCGTCGTCGTCATCATGGTCATCATTGTCATCATCACCATCATCGCCATCATCATCGCCGTTGTCGTCACTATAATCGACACCCAATTCGGCACACCCCTCACACGTTTCGTGACCCCATAGGAAGCTCCACCGAAGGCCCCAATAGCAAAATTCGCATGCAGTTCCACCCCCATTTCGGCGCACCCCTCACACGGTCGTGGCCTCATACGGAGTTCCACCGAGGGCCCGAGTGGCAAAGTTCGCATGCAGTTCCACACCCGTTTCGGCGCACCCCTCGCACGGTTCGTGGCCCCATGGGAAGCTCCACCGAAGGCCCCACCGGCAAAATTCGCATGCAGTTCCACCCCATTTCGGCGCACCACTCACTTCGTGGCCCCATAGGGCTACTGCAAGCCTTAGTGGCGAGGCTCGCATGCAGTTCCACCCAATTTCGGCACACCCGTCACGCGTGGCCCCATGAGGAGTTCCACCGAAGGCCCCAGTGGCAAAGTTCGCATGCAGTTCCGCCCCCATGTCGGCGCACCCTCACACGGTTCGTGGCCCCATACGGAGCTCCGCCGAGGGCCCGAGTGGCAAAGTTCGCATGCAGTTCCACACCTGTTCCGGCGCACCCCTCACACGGTTCGTGGCCTCATAGAGAGCTCCACTGAAGGCCTCAGTGGCAAAGTTCGCATGCAGTTCCACCCCCATTTCGGCGCACCCCTCACACGGTTTGTGGCCCCATTGGTAGCTCTGTTGCAGGCATCATTGGCGAAGTTCGCATGCAGTTGCACTCCCAATCGGGCGCACCCCTCACACAGTTCGTGGCCCCATAGGGAGCTCCACCGAGGGCCCCAATGGCAAAGTTCGCATGCAGTTCCACCCCCGTTTCGGCGCACCCCTCACACGGTCGTGGCCCCATAGGGATTTCCACCGAGGGCCCGAGTGGCAAAGTTCGCATGCAGTTCCACACCCGTTTCGGCGCACCCCTCACACGGTTCGTGGCCCCATGGGGAGCTCCACCGAAGGCCCCAGTGGCAAAGTTTGCATGCAGTTCCACCCCCATTTCGGCGCACCCTTCATACGTTTCGTGGCCCCATAGGGAGCCCCACCGAAGGCCCCAGTGGCAAAGTCCGCATGCAGTTGCACCCCCGTTTCGGCGCACCCCTCACACGGTTCGTGGCCCCATAGGGAGCTTCACTGAGGGCCCCAGTGGCAAAGTTCGCATGCAGTTCCACACCCGTTTCGGCGCACCCCTCACAAGGTTCGTGGCCCCATGGGAAGCTCTACCCAGGTTGGTATTTACCATTGCGTTGCTCACAACTGCATATGGTTGGTTCCTTCGCTAGGATAATTTTGAAAGCGGTCTGCTGCCAAAACGATGATTTTTGGCTGGGGGCATAGGACATGTGGACACGTAGGCGGGCACGCAAGGCGCGGGGTAGCCCCCCCCCGCCACCGGCCACCGAACCCAAATGGGTTTCTCCCTTAGTTGTGTCCTTTTTGTTCTCTTGCCAACGTGTCCACTGGGTCAAACAGACTTGACGGGTAAAAGCTGAAGCGCCCAGCCCTCATTCGTTCTGTGTATGGCATGGCGGGAATCCTGATGCCATTGGTTCTTCATGCTTGGGACTATTTGCCAGGGGGGCTGTTTCGTCTGCAAAATCTTCGACGCCTTCTCGCACGTGACCGTCGGCCTCCTCTTCGTCGTGGCGTCCCTCTTCGAGGAAGCGTGGATCGTCAAGCCGCACCACAGCCGCGTCGTGAATTCTGAGCGGTATTTAGTTGGCAAGGGGTTCCGAGGAACCCAGCGGCCTTGCTTTGACCGAGTTCAGAGGGCGGTGGAGACTGCGCACTCGCTGTGGCCCGTGCCAGGTACCGCGGGCGCATGGAGTGGATTGGCGCCGCTGCACGTCATTGCGCCCGAGGAGATGAGAGCGGATGCCGGATTCCTGGCATCGGTACAGGCCATGACTGTGACCCTCTGCCGTCGCCAGGCTTCTGCACTGGAGGAAGTGATGGATCGAGCCCTTCAGCTCCAGAGCAGTGGTGAATCGAAGATGAAGAGGCAGAGAGTGCGCAAGAAACAAGAGGTCAGCTCCATCTGCTGCTGGTAGGAGCGAGGGGGGCGACCTGAAGGTGAAGGCCATCACCTTTCCTCCCTCCTGTGGCTCCTGTGGCTCCTGGATGTGGGGGTTCGTCCTCTCTTCCTCCTCCCTTCCATCACCTCCCCTCCTGTCTGGCATGCCCCGCGCCCGCGCGCAAGACAGAGGTGTGGTGAGAGGACAGCGGCAACGACGCGACGCCTTCCCCCGACCCCCGCTTCCGCCACGCTCCTGGGGGCGGCGTCTGGTTTGCGGCGCCGAGGCGCCAGGGTCTTTCCAGAGCTGGAAAGCTGGTTTTAGTAGGGGGGCCGACACTCTGCTGCCAGCATGAGCACCAGCCCTGAGTACTCAGTGGGCGTAGTCTCGAGTTGGGGCCTTTTGTTGTTGTTGTTGTTGCTGTTGTTGTTGTTGTTGTTGTTGTTGTTGTTGTTGTTGTTGTTGTTGTTGTTGTTGTTATTGTTTTGGTTGTTGCTGTGGTTGTGGTTGTGGTTGTTGTTGTTGTTGGTGCTGCTGCTGCTGGTGTTGTTGAACATTATTTCTTCTAAAGAATAATTATTGTTGGGACCCCTGGTGCGCGCCCCCCCCGCCGCGCCTAGGCCGCAGCCTCATTTTCATCATTTTCGTGAGGAAGCCTCAGGTAAAACGATGTGATCCAGATCCGGTTGTTTTGTTGATCCGCTTTCCCTTGCAAAAAACACTATAACATGACATTTCTTGTTCTAATATAATCAAATTTCAAGAATCCCTTGCAAAAAATAAGGTAAAGTGGACATTCGCGCGCGCAAGACGAAATCCTTCCAAAACCTTAGTTTTCGTAGCGATTTTAACATAAAAACATCAAAAAACCAATGGTTTTTCAAAAAAAATGTCAAAATTTCATCCCGCGCGCTCTTGCGGATTCGTAGGAAACCCAACACTTTTTAAACATTTCTGTCAAACGGGCTTTTGCGAGCAACTTTTTCGAACTTCTGCAACAACGGTTGCGCACCTGCCAGGGCCATCATCCCTGTCAAATAATACCATGCGGGACACATTCGTTTTTTCTTCGCGCGCGCACGCCGTCGTCGTCGGCCGCGGGGCCCTGAATAGTAGCCACGGTCGTCCGCATGCCACGAAGTGAAGTGTCCGAACGTCATAGGGCGGGAAGCTGGGTGTGGGTGGTGGCGAAGAGTCGTTTGGAAATTTGGTAGAGCTTGAACCGGCCCCCCCACAAAGTGGGGGTATTGCCCGCCTCCTATGAAAACCCTGGCACTGGTGAGAACGGAGTGTCCCCACGTGCTAGTAATTGTTGTTGTTGTTGTTGTTGTTGTTGTTGTTGTTGTTGTTGTTGTTGTTGTGGTTTGGGGACCCGTTTCGGCGGGCGTGGGCCTCGCTTTCAAATAATTCAAATGTAGCCAGCGCCAGGATGAGAGCGCCAGAGCGCCTGGGGGGGGTCATACTTGACTTGAAATTCACGGTCCACCACAGCAATCACTGGCACGGGGGGGGGGGCGGGTATTCAGCCACGCACCAAGGGACAGTGCAAGACTGATCGGCACCCTCACTCTCATGATGGCTGAATGAGCTAACTCCCGCCATTGCGAGTGGGAGGGGGCCTGTGGTGCCTTGCGAGGGCTGCGGGGCTGGAGCGCCAATGTTCGAGTAGGGGATCGACTGCAACATCGATGTACCCCAACATTCAAATCTTCTCTGGATCCACGACAATCACGTCTACTATTCGCAGACCAGCGGACATTCTACGTACATTGTTCGCCGACCAGCGGGCATTCTACGTAAGACCAATCTGGGCTAAATCAATTCTGCAGTCGGTCCCACATTCGAAATCTGAGAAAGAGCGCGTTCTGTGGACGCTGGGAGGGACGGGGGTCGAACCGGGGGGGAGCCACCCCCCCTTCCTGAGGTGCAAGGGGGTGCGAACGCAGGAGGGGCTCCCCGTCTGTCCACGGGGGGGGTCGAACCGCGGGCCCTTCCCCCCTCTGTGCAAGAAGCGGGGGGGTTCGAACCGAGGGGGTCCCCTCCCTCGAGATGCAATGGAAGGGGCAAGTTCGAACCGGGGGGGGGGAGGGCTCGCCCCCTGAGTTGCAGGGGCGGGGGTTCGAACCGATGATTGCAAGGATTGCAAGTCGTCGCTTCGAGCCGACGACGGGGGGGACCCTCCCCCTCCACCCACGTCGTCGGTTGCAGGGCTCCCCCTCTTGCAATCGGCGACTTGGGCAGCGACGGCGACTGCGACGGCGAAGGCGATGGCGACGGCGGCGGCGGCGACGGCGACGGCGACGACGGCGACGGCGGCGACGGCGGCGACGGCGGAGACAAAGGCAAAGGCAAACGCAAAGGGGACGGCAAAGGCAAAGGCGACGGCGACGGCGCTTGCGACCGGGGACGACGACGACGACGACGACGGCGGGGGCGGCGGCGACAGCGACCGTGACGGCGACGGCGACGGCGTCGGCGAAGCGACCGTGACGTCGACAGCGACGGCGACGGCGACGGCGACGGCGGGGGCGGCGGCGACGGCGATGGCGACGGCGACGGCGACGGCGGCGGCGGCGACGGCGATGGCGGCGGAGACAGCGACGGCGACGGCGACGGCGACGGCGACCGCGACGACGACGACGCTCACAGGGGTGGGGGGAGGGGGGGCCCGGTTCGAACCCTTCCTCCTTGCAACTCGGGGGGTGGCTCCCCCCTGAGTTCGAACGCCCCCCCTTGGCAGGGGGGGGGGCTTTCAGTTCGAGCCCCCACCTTCTGCAACTCAGGGAGAGGGGGCCTTCCCCGTTTCGAACCCCCTCCCCCTGGGGGAGGGGGCCCCCAGCCCCCCCTGGTTCGAACCATTCCCTGGTTCTCAAGGGGCGCTCAATGTTTTGATGCGGGGGGGCTCCCGGCTCCAACGTGCCAAGGTGGTTTTTCCAGGCAAGCGTCCACGAATCGCGACCTCCCAAAGGTAAAGAAATCCGTCGGGATCGCCAAGCTTTTCGCTGCAGAACAGTGTGGGCGGGTCGCTGGGCGGGACGTTGGCAGGTCGCGAGGCTCGGGAAACGATGTGAAGTGCCGATGTTTCACTGCAGCCGCCCCGTGGTTTGCGGGCGTTGGCCGAAGGTGGGTCGCGGCAGGGTCGTGGGCAATGTCGCGGGTGGGCGGGTGGTGGGTCGCGGGGTGGGTCGTTGGGCGGGGCCCGGTGGCGACGACGCCATCCACAGCACGACAGAGCAAGAATCGGCACCGCGGAATCCAACTCCAGCAGCGCACCGTGGGGTGAGGATGAGGATGGCGGTGTTGATGGCGATGGTGCGACGATGACAGCGACGACGATCTTGGTGATGGTGTTGGTGACGCTGACGTTGACGATGTCGATGACGGTGACGATGACGATGTTGATGCTGATGATGATGAGGATGATGACGATGATGATGACGGCGTTGTTGTTGATGATGATGATGATGATTTTGTTGAGGATCATGGAGATGCTGATGGTGTTTGTTATGATGATGGTGATGATCATGATGATGGCGGTGATGAGGATGATGACGGTGATGGTGATGGTGATGATGATGATGATGATGATGATGATGATGATGATGGTGATGATGATGATGATGATGAATACGATGATGGTGATGATGATGACGACGGTGACGACGATGACGATGATGATGATGAGGAGGAGGAGGAGGAGGAGGAGCATGATGAGTATACTGATGACGATGATGATGACGATGCTGGTGACCATGATGATGACGACGATGCAACATGACGACGATGATGATGCTGCTGCTGATGATGATGCTGATGATTGACGGTGATGTTGATGCTGATGCTGCTGCTGCTGCTGCTGCTGATGATGATGATGATGATGATGATGATGATGCTGATGATGACACCCCAAGCCTCCCTCGCCTCCCGCGCCTCCAGGGCCGGGGGCCTCAGGGGTGCACGGATGCTGGCCGTCGATGCTCTTCCCCAAAGGGGGCCGGCCATGATCGGTGGCCCGCATACGTTGCAGCTCCCCGTGGTGCGCCTCCGATTGCCAAACTTGAGATGCGCTCATATGGGTGCCACAGTACGATCAAGCCGCCCTGGGACAGGTGCGCTCCCCGATCGCCCCAAATCTCCAGCGCCCTGCAGTAGCGGACGAGTAACGGTATAATACACATGGTTCCGCCGTCTGAAACGCCTGTCCCAGGGCTGCTGGAAAGTGTATACCCCTGCGGTGTCACGTCGCCCCATGACAAAGGCGTCCTGGATGGCGGATTAGTGTATGTGATGCAGGTAGCCGTCCGCTAATCGAAGCAATCATCGAGGTGAAATTTCCTTCGAAGTTACAGACGTTCGGACGTCGTTTCCGCGCTCCAGTCCCAAAAGGTCGCCCATCATGAAAGACGGGTTCCCAGAAAGACGGGGCTAGGACGAGGATCAATCCGTTTCAGAGCGTCCCTGAAGGCTCTCAGAGCGTTCCAGAACGCTCGGAGAAGGCCGCGGTGCCCGATAACATCAGGAGGTCTTTGGTTTTGAGGCCCCCCCCCTGTTTCTCGGCGGTGAACAACCTTGCCACTCCTCCTGCTGCTCCTCCTTTTCCTCCACCCCTCCTCCTCCTCCTCCTCCTCCTCCTCCTCCTCCTCCTCCTCCTCCTCCTCCTCTTACTCCTCCTGATCATTCTCTTCCTCGTCCTCCTCGTCTCATTCCTCCTCGTCGTCGGCGCCCGCGTCGCGGGCCACACAGTTGTTTCCCACTATTGTTCGCCGTGCTGGATAATGTATGGGGGTTCTTTCTCCCAGTGAACGATGCTCCCCGGGCAACCCGGCACGATGGAGGACTGTTGAGTACGTTTGTAAGAGGAGTACAATACTTATTCGATCGACAGATTCGTTGCCGAAGGCGTTGCTCACAAGATTCTCCTTCATCTCGTCGTAGTTCCAGTGCAATTACATCTACATCTTCGTTGTCGCGCCTGCGTCGTGGGCCACCGATTCGTGTCCCGCTAATGTTCGCCGCGCTGGATCATGTTGGGGGCTTCCTTCTCCCATCGAATCATGCGCCCTGGGCTACCCTGCACGGCAGAGGAATGTTGAGCACGTCTGTGCAAGGATTGCTGTATCTAGATCGATGCATCCTTCACCAACGGCGTTGCTCACAATCTCATCCTCCATCAGTACTATCAGCAGTCATAGTAGTAGTAGTCGTCGAAGTCGTAGTTGTAGCCGTACTTGTA